CGACCGTTTCTACTGTACGGTCGCACGTCTTTTGTCTAAGGAGCATGCTAGAAAACCAGCCGAGAATCGTACGATTTTCGGCTGGTTTTTAGCATGATCGTAAGATCAATGCCGCACGGGCCGGTGTGCGCACGCTCACACTGCCCGTTCAGCATTGCGGTCATCAAAAGCCCGCCCCTCAGGGGGGCGGGCTTGCGATGATCGCATGTACGATCTGCCTGTCCAAGATGGGCAGATCGTACATTTTTTTATTACTTTACAACCATCGCAAGACTAAGGTCTTGCAATGGTTGTAAAGTGTATGGCCATCTTAATGTAGCTGTTTTCTAATACAAAACTATGTGCAAGAAGACTTTCTGCACACAGTTATGCATTATAAGTAATAATGTTACTGCTGTTCACAGTTGATGGCATAGAGGTGGAAACAACACATATGTAGGAACTTAGCTGGAAGCACACATGGTTAACAACTAGCTCATGCCACTGCTAGCAGAGTTCAAGATTATGGTGTCCAATGCCACTGCTAGCAGAGTTCAAGATTATAGTGTCCAATGCCACATGAAAGGACATTTACATTCTGCCATGGGAATACTTTTAGCACACCAACTGCACTGCAATGCAAATGGTACATGATACATATATGATAATGAATATTCTTCTAACCAGTACAGACCTATTAAACTTTGGCTTTATTATAACAAGCATACTTATGTAAATGGAGTTCTTTAAGAGAGCTGCATGGCTTGCTCTACTTAAGTTCATTACCATGCAACCACCTGTTAGGATCGGATTCTAATTTGGCAAAAGTTCTCCAAAAAAGCTGCCCTCCAACATTCGGAACTTTAGAAGACAGATGGAATGAGATAGTGTAGATCTAGGCTGACACGCACAGTGAAGCACAAAGATATAAAAGAACAGCTTGAAAACAGCAGAAAGATGATGAGCAATAATACTGGACAGATTAAATAAGTCTTCCTTGCAAGTCAACACAAATTTATTTCAGATGCAGTAATTAGGTTCCTCATTATTTTATTGGCACTGCTGTCAGTATAATATATTCTCTTATATAGATATGACCTTTAGTGTGAAGCCAGCCTTGGAAGGCAGCTTCATATTTGGAGGATAAAGTAAATTAAGTGTACCCTAAAGATATCAAGTTATGGATGTACTGTTCTGAGGAAGATGTGGTTTCTTTGTAAACAAATGTTTTTATTATCAACATTCAAGATGTCAATTGAAAATAATCTGGCATGAAAATATAATGTGATTTAAAAAAAAATGTTTTTCTTATATGTAACTGCAGAAAAAGTGATGTTGAAGCCATATAATTTGGTTCAATATAAGTAAGTTGTATAACCTTATCTTCTTTTTTCCTTATCAGTGCTAACATGGTGCAGTGTTCTGCTGTTCAGATTTATTTGTCTCAGCCTTAATGCAAGTTATAACCCTAGGATGTAGGTGGGGCAGGACAAATGTCAGTGTATACACCATTCCCTCATCATACCTGCTTGGAGGGGTGCATCTATGTTGAGAGGGCCACTGCAATCATATGATTGTAAAATCACCTTGCTAGGTTTAATGATGATGGCATAGTCAGCGATGCCATTCTTAAACCAATCCCTTTTGCAGTCCTTGCAAGCAGCACTAGAGGGAGCCTACTAGAACTGGATGCAGACTCGGGTGACTGCTTCACTGGGCTTCAGGTCCATATTGTGGGAGCCCCTGCCCTGTGCTTATGATGATGTTTGTTTAGATTTATTTTTGATGCTTGTTTAGATTTGAGGTTATGTTTTTCTGCTTTTACTCTACAAATAAACCCGTGTTGACTAAAATGTATTAGTTTAAGGTCCCATTCACACCTAGGTGTTGGTGCTTTCCTAGGTCAAGTGTTTCCTGTATTGGAGGAGACCTGTTCTGTTGCAAAAACACCCGAAAAACCCTCCAAAAAACACTTAAAAACTATTGTGAAGTATGTTTTAAGGCATTTTTATTGAAGTATATGGAGAAAAATCTGCCAGAAAAGAAGCTCATGTGAAAATTTAATTTTTTTTTCATCACTTCAAACATAATGGGGAAAAAAAAATGTTTGGTGTACAATTGTTATTGTTTCTAAGTAGGTATTTGTATAGCAAAAATATAAAACCACTGAAGTTTAAATTCAGTACACCAAATATTCCTTGTCTAGACAGAATAAGACTTATAGCATTACAGCACAGTAGTGCATTCTAGCTTTCCGTCTCAGATGTTATTTACCCCCCAGTTGTCACAACCACTCATTCAATTACCTTTATCCTATCCATATTTTGATCCACAGAGGTGCTTATAACATTGTGGGTGCCCACTCTACAGAGAACTTCATAATGCCGGAAGCATGTGAGTATTGTGCAGGCGTTTATGATGGATGGGGAGAGAACGTAGAAGCAGAGGCTTATTACAGCCTCAACTTATTTTTCCCTTATGCCATCATTGTAGTTGCAAACATTTCAACCACTGGACTTTGAATTGCATGTTATAAATGCACATGTACACTAATGAGCTTAAAGAGGATAATAAGTTTTGCCCATAAAATCACTTATCGCTTGCTAAACAAAGTCTTGCATTGATTCCTTGAATAATGTATTGTTACAAGTGTATAATACTGAGGTTTTCTAAGGAATCCTGCTCACCATCAACTTAGCTCTGTAAAAGCAGTGCTGGTTCAACTAATACTCTTCATATACACAAAAGGCCAAAAGTTTGTGAACATCACAAATATATGAGCTTGCTAGACATTACACTTATTTGAGCATGCAGAATATCCCAATCCAGAAGCACAAAAACAAGCACATAATCTCCATTGGAAAACATTAGCATACATACCGGTAGGTAATTTAGACTATTATGAACTTCCAGCCTTGTGGAAACAGTTTGAGAAGGCCCTTTTCTGTTTCAGCATGACTGTGCCACTGTTCATAGAGACATACGTCCATAAACTTTGGCAGGGAGCAACTCGAGTGGCCTGCAGAGAACCCTGACCTCAAGGCTATTGAACATCTTTATAATGCAATAAAAAAAATGTTTTTTCAGAAAAGGTATTTCTAGGGTTGTGGCAAGGTTATGTGGCTGTGTAAGCACGCTACTGATACAATTACAGAAGATACTTATTAAGAAAGCACTATTCACCAAAATATCTTTACATAGCTGACAAATATATAGGCTCATTTACAAAGTACATCATTTTGAATATGTATGTGGACAGCAGTTACCCAGAGCTCTTCTGATATATGTACATAAACATTTGTATAAGTTAAAAAAGGTGTTTAATTCATTAATGGACCTGTCACTATAAGATAATTAGGCTTTGTTAACACAAAATATAACGTTCTCTGTACTATATTTCTATATATGTAAATAAAAATCTTGTAGCAGTATCATTTCCGATGATGAAGAAAAATAAGCACGAGTCGCAGTAGAATTACCAATTTCCAGAATTAGATAGTATATGAATGGGGAAGACCTATCACCTGATAACTACCAGGATAAGAAATTCAAGGAGAAACTGAAAATGTGGCTGTAATTCAGTCAACGTTCTCTGACGGCATCATAAAGGTTTACGAGACCATCAGAACTGTGAGACTGAACTGTACTTCCAGTCATCAATCTCTCCCTCTCTCAATAGCATTTTTTTATGGAAGATGCAGAGCAGGTCTAGGATTTTAAGCTTGTAAAAATTTTATTGAGGAATTGTAAGAAAGAAAAGGGATTTTACAACATAAAATTGGTAAGTAGAGAAAAGAAAGACTAGTTTTATGGTGCCATGTGATGACTAACCTGTTTTGCTCTTGAAATGTAGACTATTAAGGGCTTAGCATCTACAGAATTTTACATTGCATCAGATGGAAATGTGAAATAAGCATACGTGTACAACATGGATAATTTCTAATACTTGGGATCAAGGTTTTATTTAACTAGAGACACAAATCCAAAAAGATATCACATTTTCTTGCAAAATTATTAAAAAGTAATACCTATAAAAACACTCAGCATTATGAAAGTGATTTAGGGGACAAAGCTAGCCGAAGGATCAGCCAAAACTTCAGTGAATAGGGGCGAACAACAGCGAGTGAGCTGCCGGAGCTTTGGCTCAGCCGAGGCTGAAGGCAGCCGATGTATGGCTGAAATCAGCCATACTGAGCCGTAGTGAATAGCTGAACGTTGTTCGGCTCACTTTACTACGGCTCGGTTATTCACTCGGCTGCCTCCGGCAGCTTAGTGAATAATTAATGTTTCTTAAAATGGCAATCAGTATTGCTAGCTTGGCATCCACTGTGCAAGACAGGACTCAAGGAGTACAATTTGAACATCAGCTTGGATTTAAATAAGTCATCCCCTGTGTGCTCAGGAACACCTATTTCCATCCTTCTGTACCCAATTAAGCTGTAGCCCACCTCTTCTTCCACTAGCACATGCAAATGTGTTTTCTTCCCTTTTTTCTGTATTTTTTAGAAAAAGAAAATTTATATATGCATATGTCAGTTTAAACTCCATTTTGTCCTTTGAAAAAATGGTATATAATACGTGTAGGTGCAATGAATGAGGAAGATGGAAATTATGGTTAAACAAACACATAGCAAAAATGCCAAAATTGCTCCAGTCCCCAGAAGTGAAGAAAGTTTCTGAAGCTCTGTCACTTAGGGGTTAAATAAATGCTCTTCAATGGTGTGTTTTAATAATGGCTTTAATCAATATTTTATGTTACTAGTGTGCTCTGAAAATATAAATAAAGGCCATGGTCAGATAGTCTTTTGTTTAGGCCTAGGGTGACCAATAAAGCATGACTCCTGTCCACATTGACTTCATTAAACAACTTTAAAAAAAGTGCTCTGTACTACTTTATGAGATAAGTCTCTATGTACAAAATAAAGAGTAATTTCACGCAAAAGTGATATTGTAGTTATTATTATACAGGAGTTATAGGTGAAGTCACCCCCTGGCTTAAATACTCACTTTAGTAAGATTTTCTAGCCATAGTTTCTCATTTTGGTCCTGTCAATCTGAGAGTTTAAGTGTACTCCTAAACCTTTGTGTTTCCCATGATCTTCTGTTGCATACTCTATAATCTAAAATAATAATGTTTATGGTGATGCAAGGAACTTAAGTGCAAATATCTCACTGATAGAGTTTCCAAGAGACATAAAAAGCTGCCAGGTAGTTTAACTCTCTAATATCTTCTAAAAAATGAACTGTTTTAGTAGGATGTCCCTTTAAGTAGCTGTGTACCAACACACTATTACATGGTCACAATGATTGTCATGTTTGTGCAGCAAATCCTAAAGCTTAATAGTTCACTATAATTTAAGATCTGCAATGGAAAGATTTTTTTTTCACAGAATCTCTTCACTCTTTTGAATGCTGCTAACTGTTGAGTCTTCATGACATCTCTTGTACGGAAAACCCAATAAAAGCAGAGAAAAGCTGGATCAATGAAGTCTGAACAATTCTGAGCTTTTTAGCACCCTTAGAAATGTTGTCTTACTGAAATGACTGGTGAGTAGGTTTTGAGCAAACATGTCCTTTGCCTGGCTTAAGACTCACAGGGGTTGATTTACTAAAGGGAAATAGGAAGTTTGCCTTTGCCTAAAGGAATTTTTTCCTTAGCTTAGCGAAGATGAAGAGCTTAGTGAGATGAAGCTCTACTAACATCCATCATCCAATCACGTGCAAGCAAAAATACTGTGTTTTTAATTTTCCTTGCACATGATTGGGTATTCTTTGCAAAGTGAATCTGTCCCACATTCGCTAAGCAGTTCAAAGAAAGTGACAAGGACACTTTGCATTTCTGGCAAGATTAGATTACTGGGACTTTCACATTGAAGTGGCCTATTGTTTTAGGGCTAGCTTGTAATTAAAAACAGCAAATATACAAATTTCCGTATTTCATCTATCATTTTGAAATTCTTTTTTCAGGGTTTGTTCCTTTATTTTTCCTACCCATAACACACTTCATGTCCTAGGGTGACAGCGTCGATCAGCTATACTGTATCTATGGAGGTGCACTGTGTCACGCTAGGACAGAAAGTTTCATCTCCACAAGGTGTTCTGTAGTCCTAGGACCCCTAACACACTTGCAGATAACATTGAGATAAGACTGCAAAGTACACACATTTAACAATGTTAACAGGTGATAGATCCCAAAGCAATAGAGAAAATAACATGTTTATTTTATGCATGTCACAACTTATGATTGTGACATGCACTAAATCTCAAAGCTGTCACAACTTATTTTTGGAGCTGGAGCATAGCAAAACACACTTGTTGGATATTTTCATGCAATGTATTATGTGTGGACATCAATTTGTTTGCCTGCACATGATCAGTTCACCAGTACATGTGCACATTCCTTTAGAAAATCAAGGCTCAAGCATTCATTTTATGAAACCATGCATAGTCCTTCAATAAAGAGGAAATAAATATTTGTCTTACCTCAAATGGCAATTCTGTGAGCTCTAAATTCCCAGATACATCCAATTTCTCAAGGTTTTCACAGTCTCCCAGTTCTGGAGGTATCTCTTTCAGATTATTAAAACTAACATTGAGTTCTCTAGGAACAGTTTAAACAGGTTTGTCCAACACTTTTGTTCAGCAAACAGACAAACACAGTTTTCATGCAGCAAACTCCTCCTGTAAGGCCCCATTCACACCAGGGTGGTTGCGGAAACCGCGCTGATTTTAAAAGGGCTGTTTTGGGAGTTTTCAATTGCGTTTCAACACTGAAACACCCAAAAAATGCATTGAAAGCTATATGGAAACCGCACTGATCAGCGTAGCAAAAAAGGGTCAAGGCCAAATCCCTGCAGCCGAATCACCCCAGTGTGAACAGGGCCTTAAATATACGTGAAAACCACGTTGATCCGCAACCGCCCTGGTTTGAATGGGGCCTAAAACAAACAAAACATCTGTACATCCAAGTCACTAACAAACCCCAGGGGTGTTCATGAATAATAGGGTGCCCCGTAATGCATTCCTTAAAACAAACAGGCAGCACTTTTACCTTTTTAAGTCACTCTGTCAGCTCTTTTTACCCAGCAGCAGGCTCCCACAGCAAGGAGAGCAATAGAGAGTGAGCCCTGAGCATCAATCAACTCACATGTGAACAGCTGAGACTGACAATGAGGTCTAGCTACCAAGTAGATGTGGACCTAGTTATGGAAACTGTATCCGATCCAAAGCTCCAGGACCCAAACAGAGTGTAACGATCGCGGCTGCGCTCCACCGTGGAACGCAAGCCGCGGGACGGAAGTAGATGAGCTGATGCGTTCCAGCGTGGAACGCATCGGCCCCTATGACGTCGGCAGCTCCTCCCACACTGCTCCCCTATAAAAGGCTGACAGAAAGATCAGTATGGCGTTCCACTATTGCCAGTGAACGCCAGCTGACAACCAGAGATCCCCTTCCTGGACCATTGGACCTGTTGCCTGGAAGAACCCTTTTTGTGCTAGGACATCTAATAGCAAGTATTGCCTAGTCTGTGACAGCCTGTCCCAGCTAGAGCTCTCTGAAGTCATTATTTTGATCTCATGCAACTGCTGTATGGACTTCCTTATTACTATCTGAGCCACACCATTTAAAGGGGAAGTGCTGATATTTCTTTTTGTTCATACTCCTTACCAAAGTTGTATTATTTGAACCTGCTTGAATCAAGTGCTGATAATTCTTTTTGTTGATACTCCTTACCAAAGTCATACTATTTTGAACCTGCTTGAACCACACATAATAGTTGTAACCCAGGTATGCTGTAATACCCTGGGGCTACTCGTGTGCATCACCACTTAAAACAAAGTAATTGCGGCATATGATGGTAGAGCTCCTAACTCTCCGTTAATGTTTGAGAGTGACGCCTGGAGCTAGACCCTGAATCCGTACCCCTAAACAATTACACCTGAGCTAGATACCTGTGTCGTTGTCTATTTAGATGATATCTTCATCTACTCTGACAACCTCCAGGACCACCGCAGGCACGTGAGGTGGGTTCTCGCTAGACTTAGGGCCCACTCTTTATACGTGAATGTGGAGAAATGCGTGTTCGAAAAACAGACCATCTCCTTCTTGGGGTATGTAATCTCTCCCCACGGGGTTCAGATGGATCAGGCCAAGGTGGATTGTATACTCCAGTGGCCAGTCCCTACATCCAAAAAAGCCTTGCAGCGGTTTTTAGGATTCGCTAATTTCTATAGAAAATTCATTCGGAACTTCTCAGGGGTTGTCAAACCAATGACCCACCTAACAAGTCCATTGATAAAATATACTTGGTCCGATGAGGCTCAGGTTGCCTTTGACTCCCTGAAACAAAGGTTCACATCTGCCCCGATACTACAGCTGCCAAACCCTGACAGTCATTATGTACTAGAGGTAGATGCCTCTCAAATAGCCATAGGAGCCATCCTCTCCCAAAAAAGTTCCATTTCGGAACCAATACATCCAGTGGCGTTTTTCTCTAGATCCCTTAACCCCGCTGAAAAAAATTACCCTGTGGGAGAGAAAGAACTGCTTGCCATCAAGTGCGCTCTAGAAACCTGGAGACATCTGCTAGAGGGCACCAGATATCCCATCACTATATATACTGACCATCGGAACTTGCAGTACTTACAGGCGAGCAAGACTCTGTCGGCCCGCCAGGTTCGTTGGAGCCTGTTTTTTGGGAGGTTTGATTTTCAGATCACGTACCGACCTGGCGCAAGGAACGGTAAGGCGGATGCTCTCTCCTGCATATCAGAGGAACAGCAACATCCTCAATCTCCTTCCTCGGTGATCCCGTCCGACAGGATAGTTCTTGCCACTATCAGTTTAAAAACCCAGCTCAAGGAATACTTAACCGCTAACCCCAGCACGATTCCCCAGGGACTCGAACGTTATGAGGAGGGGTTTCTGTACAGAAATTCTAAACTATAAATACCAACCCCTTGACAGTCAAAATAGTTAAACTACTGCATGACGGAGCTCTAGCGGGTCATCCAGGCGTTACAAAAACCCTGGACCTCGTTCAACGTCACTTCTGGTGGCCCCAGATGCGTAAAATGGTACAGGACTATGTCTCATCCTGTCAGACCTGTGCCACCTATAAACATGGAAAGAGACCACCGTATGGGTTGTTGGCATCCTTGCCTGTACCCGAGAAACCCTGGGACTCGGTGTCTCTTGATTTCATTGTTGATCTCCCACCTTCCTCGGGTTACAATACCACATGGTGGTGGTCGACAGACTGACTAAGATGGCACATTTCACCCCCCTAACCAAAGTTCCCTCTGCCAGGGAGACAGCTGATGCCTTCCTAGGCAACACTGTGAGACTTCAAGGAATACCTTCCCAGATTATCTCTGATCGGGGAGTGCAATTTGTTTCCAGATTCTGGAGGGCCTTGTGTACAGCTTTCCGAATTGACCATAGATTGTCTACCGCTTATCACCCCCAGACAAATGGTCAGACGGAGCGTATCAACCAATGTCTGGAACAGTACCTCCGCTGTTACTGTACACACCTCCAAGATGACTGGGCCGAATTGCTTCCCCAAGCGGAATTTGCTTATAACAATGCCACCAGTGCTTCCACGCTTCATTCCCCCTTTTTTGCAAATTATGGCTTTCACCCTAACTCCTTACCGGATTCCTTGGTGCCCTCGAACGTCCCTGCCGCTGAATGCTATCTCTCTAATCTCCATAAGATGACCGAAGTGTTACGTGACAACCTCGCCCTAGCTCAGTCTCGACAGAAGCATTACTATGATCTCCGTAGAAGACCTGCCCCCTCCTACAACACGGGGGACATGGTCTGGCTATCCACCAAGAATCTCCGTCTAGGAACTCCATCGAAAACATTGAGTAAACAGTTCATGGGGCCTTTCCCTATAGAAAAGGTTATCAACGCTAACACCATGAGACTTACCCTGCCTGGGGAGTTGAGGATACATCCTTCATTCCACGTCTCCTTACTCAAACCACACCGTCCGGATCCCTTCCCTGAGCGCTCTCCTCCTCCAGGGCCCCCGTTACAGGTGATGGGCGATGAGGAGTACGAAGTGGAAGAGATTCTGGACTCCAGGAGACGGTGGAATAGACTGCAATATCTGATCCGCTGGAAGGGTTATGGCCCCCAGGAGGACTCCTGGGAGGATGGTCGGGATGTCCATGCCCCTGATCTGGTAAAGAGGTTTCACCTCCGGTATCCCAGCAAACCTTCGCGACCGGGGAACCCCAGGAGGGCTTCCTTTGAGGAGGGGGTGCTGTAACGATCGCGGCTGCGCTCCACCGTGGAACGCAAGCCGCGGGATGGAAGTAGATGAGCCGATGCGTTCCAGCGTGGAACGCATCGGCCCCTATGACGTCGGCAGCTCCTCCCACACTGCTCCCCTATAAAAGGCTATTATTTGAACCTGCTTGAATCAAGTGCTGATAATTCTTTTTGTTGATACTCCTTACCAAAGTCATACTATTTTGAACCTGCTTGAACCACACATAATAGTTGTAACCCAGGTATGCTGTAATACCCTGGGGCTACTCGTGTGCATCACCACTTAAAACAAAGTAATTGCGGCATATGATGGTAGAGCTCCTAACTCTCCGTTAACGTTTGAGAGTGACGCCTGGAGCTCGACCCTGAAGCCGTACCCCTAAACAATTACACCTGAGCTAGCCACACTCCGCAGCTGAGATTCATGTATCCTGACCTAGCCGTTACACAGAGATTATTAAGATTCTGAGGAAAGCAAAAAAAGTTTGTTTTCTCCACATCAGCCATTTGAGACAGTTATTTCTCAGATATTTAATCTGCTTCCTATTTCCTTTAAATTGGAGCATCAAAAGTTAGATTATTTATTCAATTACTGCTGAAATATATTTTTTATATTAATTTTCTTTTCATTTTGAATAATTTTAAGCATTGTGCATATTTATTTCTTTAAGCAATGCAGAAAATATCTCAGTGTCTGAATTTTCAGTCCTTCACATAATTTTTAACAAAGGAAATTGACATTCACATGCTATAGAAGCATGTACATGGGAGTATTACAAGTGTCTAGAATATCCTCTTTCAACTGAACACCATGAAGATTTGTAAGACTGCTATTTTGCTGAATACTGACTTGCAAACTGTTTTTATACATATGTAATCATTCTTTATTGGGTGCAAAAATTGAAAAAAGGGCCTCAGTCATGAAGGGGTTAAAGAATAGTTTTACACCTTTACCATATCCAGACAAATCAAACAGGTTTGCAAACATAACTTCTCATCTTTTTCCTTTCTTCCTCTGTCCCCTGAGAACCATACTAGGTTCCCCAACTGACTGCCAGTTCAAATTTCCTGCCTGATGGCTTGTAAAGATGTCTACAAAGTCTTCAAACACAATAGTCACATGTAAGAAAAGAACCCAGGAATTCCTTTAGATGTCCATGTTTTTAGCTCACAGCTCCTTGCACAGTATCCGAGTATTACTATTCGAAATCACAGTCTGTCCCTATCTATCTATAGAAAATACATTTAAAACATAACTATTTTAAACAAAATTAACTTAAAAGACTATATAACATGAACACTTAAGGTGCCCACACA